ATACGGACCGACCTATGCCGGTGAATGAAATTTTTATTTTTTTCTACCACATAACAAAATGATTACCAAAAGAACCCTAATGATTTAGGGCTACAATTAAGAGTTTAATTAGGGGAAAATCCTCCATAACCTTAACAATTTGTTAGCGAGTGGATGATAAAGAATACAGACGTTATTCAAATTAAAGAGAAAACTTTCACCGAAAAATTTTTAATTTGTAAAATGTAACTGAAAAGACTTCCAAGCAAACTTTGAAACATTTTTGACAAGTAACTGTCACCATGTGACACCTGTCAATTGAAGAAGAAAAAAAGGCGTACGCTTTTGAATAAACAACAGTACCACCTACTGGTGTGACAAACACACACGAGTTAACTGACAATGCGACGAACTTCTCGTAAAAAAAAATACAGCACTCAGAGATCTTACGGAAAGTATTGTTTATTTCCAACGACGGTTAATCTTCGTAGATTTACCTCTCTTCCGTTTTAAAATGTCACGGAAAGTCAAACTGTAAGTGAACGCAAATGTGTGTTTTGAATTGTTAGTCTGCTTGTTCATTTTCTGCAATGGTGTGTGTAAATCTGTCTTTCTTCGACTAAAAAGCTGAAGTAAGTGAGACTCTTTCTAGCTAGACACAAGGGGATTTAATGCGACTTTTATTCATCAAATTCCTCCGGTTTCTGAGGGGAAATTTAAGGTAGAAATGTCCAAATTCAAGGGATCTGCAAGAATAGGCGAAAGTGTATTTATTGAAGAACTCAAAACTTCGCTCAACGTTTCACAAATGAACAAATTGTGTTGAAGAATTCAGATATTAACGAACGAAAGTCACATTGATTAACGTACTTGTTTGCTGCAACCACCTCTCTTTGTTACTTTCTGAGTTAGTTTTTGTGAAAGATTATTAAATAGAAAATTGTTTTTAGGCCGCGTTTCAATCGTTTCAAAAACAAATTTAGTACCACTAAATCTATTTCGAAATCAATTTTTGCAGAAAAACCATTGTGATTTGAGAGCGAGAGAGAAGAAAGAATGAATATCATTTATCGCCAAAAGGTCGTGACCGAAGTCTTTGCTCAAAAATTCTGCCCCGGCCGGAAAAAGGAGATATATTTATGATAACCTGCAACGAAGCTTGAGATGTTCTGCAAAGTGACTCAAGCGAAACGGATACCGCCCGCTGTAAGCGGGCCGGATTGGGAGAATATTGCTCGCTCTCGGAACCAATCAGATTGCAGGATTTGTAGAATACCGCCCGCTTACGAGCTGAGAAAAAAAAAAGTGTAAATAAGACCGGTCCTAGAATTGAACCTTGTGATACGCCCACAGTCACGGAAGAAGGGGCCAGAAACAGAGTTGGCCATATTAACAACTTGGCATCGTTGCGAAAGGTAGCTTCCAAACCAGCTGCACGCACCATTGGACACACTGAAGTTTTGACATTATCAGATCATGGCGTATACTGTCGCATGCCTTTGACATATGAAGCGGGACGATCACGGATACCTTTCTGTCGTATATGTTCTTTAAGATTTCGTCTGTAAAGTAAAGTAGAGCAGTTTTAGTTGAGAGGGCTGATCTTTCGCAGACTTTAGACAAAATGGTAAGAAGGGATATGGGGGGCGTGTTAGAAGGTTCGTCAGGGTCACCTGATTTGAGGATAGGAATGACTTCAGCTGACTTCCAGACTTGCGCAAATGTATTTGCAGAGAAAGAGGTGCTAACAAGGTTCGTAATTGGAGAAAGTGTTATTGGTAGGCTGTCTTTCAGTACCCTGGCTGTGACTTTATCTAGGCCGGGAGTTTTGCTCGACCGTAAAGATCTTATAATCTTCCCAACTTCTTCTTCCGTAACTGGTTGAAATTCAAATGATGGACGCCTGTCATCCTGCAAACAGCTGCTCGAAGAACATGTAGTGGATTTATCGTCTAAAGAGTCAAAACCATGTTCTTCGGATAGAGTTTTTGCCTTTAAGGTGGCTGAACACAGTTTTCGCGCGCGCTTTTGCTGATGCAATTCAGCGTGCGCACAAGGATTTTAAAAAACAAACTTGCCGTCAATAGAGCATTGACGGCATGTTTGTTTTTTAAAATCCTTGAGTAAATAAAATAGAGTCATTTTATTTACTCAACACGTACCCGCACTATCTGTGCTACTTTTCTCTATAGTTGGCGCAGTGTATTGAGGGCTTTAATTTTTTATTACAAAGATATGTTAGAAAAGTTAACAGTGCAAAAAAACCCAGCAATTCTCAGCTTTTTCTTTGTTACTGAAAGGACCCAGTTAAATGTAGCGCATGCGTAGTAAGTAAAAAAATTGCCACTGAATGGAAAATTGCTTTCTCGGAAATATGCCCATTTAATAACAATAATAAATTTTATTTATATAGCGCACATATCCTGTGCTCAAGGCGCTTTACAATGTTTATATAAAATACAATATATTAAGCTAAAAGTAAATTCAATAATACAATATATCAAGCTAAATGACTATATAGTAATAGATATAATTCTATTGTAAATATGATTCTAATATGCGTAAAACTGTGGGCAAACTTTAAAATAACGGTCAATCGATAACATATTTGGTAAAAGGATAGGTTTTCAGTCTTTTCTTAAAGTTTCCAACAGTGTTAAGGTTACGTAGGTCATATGGTAAACTGTTCCAAAGTCTTGGGGCCAGGTTCGACATGCTCTATTCCCATAAGTTTTTGTTTATGACCTAGGTTCTTTTAATAACAAAATTGAAACAGATCTGAAAGTTATTTCTTGAGAACCACCCATTAGAATCTCACGAAATTTGGCAGGAAAATACTTTAGGAAATAAGTAACTGGAGTATTGAAGAAAAATTGATTTGAAACAAAGGAAATTCTAGAAAATTCAGTGAACCTTCAACAAGGGATAATTGAAGATCTCTCTGTTAAATTGTTAGTAAAATGTTGTTAACTTGTGAGTATCATTACAAGCTTGTTGCATGCAAGTTATTAAGAAAATCTAATGACTAGATTTTCTACAAATAAACAAAACGGATTTTAATTGCCTGTTTATATCTATTCACGTCGCCATGGCAACGGTACATACGTCAGCTTAACTATCAAAAACAAAGTTTGTGTTGTTAACTTGCTTGCTGCCAGTTTTGGTGACCGATAGATCAAGGGTTTTAGAGAAAATGGTGAAAGAAACAAAAGTATCAAAAACTGTGTTCAGTCACCTTAAGGCCGCAGATATGCCCACAGAGGTATAAAACTTGTTTAATCTGTTCGCTTAAGAACTGAGGGGATTTAAGACTTTCCAGATGGAATTTCCATTGCTGTTTTGAAGTTCGGTACGAACATGTCCCATTTCAGCAAGTCGAATTTCAGACTTGACATCCTGACGAAAGAACCGATAGGCATTCCAGTGAAGCCGGTCTTTTGTTTTAGTCGCGCTTTTGTGCCATTTATCTCGAGTTCTCGTGAGCTGTCGAACCTCAGGTGTGGTCTTGATTTTATTTTAACACGCTTGATGGATGCGTGAACGTTTAGTACATTTAAAAACAGAGAATTGAAAACATGAACTTGGTCATCTAAATCATCGAAAATGTTAGCTATGTGGAATGGAGCGCTAGCCAAGTCATCAGTAAATCTAGCGTGAGTATAATTCTTGTAGGTTCTTGCGGCGATGTATGAACAACGCGGTTTGGACGCTTTTAACTTAAGCGTCACACAAACAAGACTGTGGTCGCTGATTGTTGATGATTTCACCTCACTTTTCATTTCCCTTGGAAGTCCAAGCCAAAAAAATAATGGAGCTTGCTAAACCCATTAGAAGAAAAAGTTTTGAAAAGGAGGAGAATTGAAATCATCAATCAGCAGAAGAAATTGGAAATTGGATTATGAGAAAAACCTAATTGCACTAATAGAATATTTAGTCATCACACGTTTTAAAATATTCCGTCATGCTGTGTTTCGAGTTTTCATTCAGTCTGCGTTTTAGAATTTCGGGGTATTCCGCCTTTCCTACATTCCATTATTGTCAAGATTGGGTTCCCCATAGTTCGGCTTCAAGCGAGCTTTCATGATAAGCTATTGAGCCATCCACTCCCACGTGTTGCCTGTAAACCATCGCTCACCTCGAAAATAGCTTCTAATTCCCGTCTAGCTGTCCAAATTACTTTCAAAACCACTTAGAAAACATGTCGGATGACGTTTGCTCTTAAAAACCAGTTCGCTTGACTGCCTGACTACCTGACTACCTGATTCCCATTCTTGCTTTGATTTGCTTTGATTTACTTTTTCCTCGTATACTCGACATCAAGTGTCTTACCTGAAAATCAACTACTGATCACTAAGTTTCCTAAACAAATTTCTGACCACATTTGGTGCAAATTTGATGCAATGAAATCGCAAAATACCTAGGCGTCTTACCAGCATCTTAATTGATTTTAGGCAGCCATAATATATTAAAACTTAATCAACAATAGCTAGACACGAGAAGACTACATGCAGGCGTGTGGTTTAGGTATGGTTGCTCCTTCAAATCGTTCAATTCTTGTCAAAAAAGAGAAAGACTATCATAAATTTTGACGTATCTTACAAACTGTATCTTTATCCTTCCACTAGCTCAGAGAGAACCTTGTCGTGGAAGAACATCTGACGTGTGATTTACTTATTCATGAGGAGCAGAACGACCCTTGGCTCCTAAATTAAATTGGGAGCCTTATTTTTTTTCAACCCCATTTGGATCGCTAGAAGAGGGAGAGAAAGGGCAAGAAGTTAGGTGGGTAGATTACGACCGAAATAAACAATAATAATAATAACAATAATAATAAAAGCGGAAGGCAAGAAGAAAACACAGTACAAAGATGTTTTCATCTATTATTCTAACTCAATAATTGTTTTTCTCATTTTCCCACTAATTAGTATGCAAATGACCTGAACCATACCCGCAAGGTTACAGGGTACACTTTTTGTTGATGTAATAATTGTAAATCAAGGCTTTGCTCTCTGAAGTTTAAGCGAGTCTCTGATATCAAGGTTTGACATAATCCAAGAGAATCAGAGGAACTAGGATCTTAAGGTTAGTCTACAAACTAAAAGTTTTCTGTTTAAGTAAATTAGTCTTTTGATGGTATCGTAATTTTTAAAGTTCTGGGTTTTCTTTAATTTAGGAAATGGACATTTTATAGACAAAATTGTATTGTGTGTTCTAGCCATGCAAAAAATGGGATTTACGATCATGTATTTTCAAACTTTCTTGCAACGTTTCTTCGCTTTTAATGGTAAAACTAAACTATAAGTCACGAGCTACATGTAATGGTCACTTAGAAGGTGCATTTTACCTTATTTTTCATCAAAATGGAAACATTCTTAATGTCGATACTGGTTCCTTTTTATTAAATCAAATGGCAAAAAACAACAAGCAAGTGGCTTGATGCCTTGTCGTCGTTTTGAAGTACAGTGTTTCCTGCTTTAAAACTGAAATGAGCCTCTCTTGGAGGTTACTTGACAAAAATATTCAAAAACATTTCGCGGAATATTCCAAAGCCCTAACATCCTCCAATGTCGTTCAAATCAAAAGAAAAATCTTTGGCGCGCGCTAAATGTAGACACTTTTTGGACCCCAGACCGTACTTTCATTGCGCAAAAAAAAAAGAGGTAAAGGAGACCTCGCTTAGTATTAAGGTCGATTATTTTAAACACAGCAATTAAATAGAAAACTAAATAGATATTTTGAGTCCTAGGTACTTTAAAATAAAACACAAATTTACAAAGTAAACTTTAAGATATAGCACGAGAAAAGAAGAAATGAACTTATCGAATACCGCGCATATTTGCCGGTGGGTTACTTTAGCTGCACTAGTTGCAACTTCAACCGTGATTTACGAATTAACCACTGCTTTCAAAAGTGAAATAAAACTAACTGCGAAAGCTGCTGCAAACGATCAATTTTCAACTTTTAATATTAGGACAAATACATTACGCACCATTTTTACATCAAAACGCTCCAAACGAGCAATGGAAAATTATAACACCGTAAAAGGAAAACAAAAAACAAAAAACCTAAAGTGCCAACTAAGTGGCGTTTGGATCTTACACAAAATCTTTTACACAAAAATATACCCGTAGTGTTACACTCTTCACGTCGTGAAATAAAAGACTCCATTGGATTAAACTACATAGAAACGTGTTCCGAGTTTTTGCGTCACCCTTTCCGAGGTTTGGCTATTTATCGCTCAGTTTCAGGCACAATTTCGTAAAAAATCATTAAGAACCAATTAGAGTATCTTATATGACCGTGTCTGGTGGTAGTAATTTTGGTGGTTTTGAGAGCATTTAAAAAAACAGAAACTTATTTTAGTTCTGGAAGCAAGTGGGACAGTACCAGCAGTACCTGTGCCGGAATATCGTATGACGAAAAGTAGGATGTGAAAGGCCATCATATCGACAAGAAACACTTACTAACAGGACAGCGCCTTATCTTTGTCGAAAAATTCAAGTATAAATTTACTACTATTGGGAAACAAAATTTTGGAGAACTTAACTGATGAACTAAATGTAATTGATTTGAAATTGTTAAAAATGCATACACTTTTTGGAACATTTTTTACAATTTCGTGTTTGTTGTCGCATAGTGGCTCATTATTGAGAATAGTACAGTTATGATCGGTTTTGTAGACGGCACTTAGTCTGATAAGAAATATAAAACTTACGTGAAGCACCACATGCCGAAAAGACCCTTTCTATAAAGATCAGTTAATCACTCGCGGACGAACGACTAAGAGAAATAGGTGACTACTCCCTTGAGCAGACAACATTTTAAAGTCTCATTTCACTAGAAGGACAAAATCAATTTATTCGAAAAAGTGGACGTAGAACAAACCGAGAGAGTCAGTTTGTAATACTCCTTTCGTTTTGTTAACGTTTTTTCGATGTTTGTTTTCTGGAATAGCTATTTTTGTTTCTTTTTCATTGATAAATTTTTAATAATGTTAGGTTTTATACACCACAAATCGCTGGTACTGTTTCACACATAACTCTCTAGATCTTTCGTGTTTCTTTTTCTAACTTTTTTCCCGCCTATACACACGTCAATTTAAATCGATAACGTTGACTAAGTTGCAACAGCAACAATAACAATCTTTATTTGTACTGCCTTGCCTGTGTCAAGTTAAAAAACAATATTGAAAATAAATAGAGTACTGGCTGTCTGGAATAGCCATAGCGGCTAGCGGAGCCGGGCAGACAGTAGACAAGAACATTAAATCAAAATAAATTAATGGTCAGCAAGATAGCACAAATACACACATAAAAAAAAAAAAAGGAAAAGAAGAGGAAAATGCTATCACTACGCTATTAGGGAAATCTGAAATAATTAGATTAAAATATGAGTATAAAGCATTAATATAAGAAAAGCACACGCGTAGTAAATATGACAACTAATAACATTATATGATTATATACATATTTTATAAACTATAAAATAAGTTATATTAAGGCTTAGAAAGTTTGACAGAATTTGACTAAAGAGTAATTAAGCAGATAACTTGAGAAAAGACACAACTGCAATCTGAGATAATATGAATACATATATCTAATATATAATTAACAACATCGCATTTGACCGATTCCTTTAATTTTGAAAGAGAAAAGGATTCAGAGTTTTCACTTATAGAGTTCCATACTTTAAGAACCTTTAATCTTATGTTGAATATGCCATAATTTGTTCCTATTTTAGGTAAAGTGTAGAATATATTTAAAGCACTTCTGACATTGTATTTGAGTCTTTTATTGACTTGTGTAAAGAAGGTATCAAAAACAGTTTGTAGAAGTCTGCTGTGAAATTTGTACATAAAGACTGCAACATTAAGAAAGACAAGATCAGGCAGCTTAACGATAATTAAACGCTTAAAAATTGGACTAGAATGGTCAGGACATTTAGAGAATGTCATGATTCGCATTAGTCTCTTTTGTAAAATGAACAAAGGGTGAATTGTGGAAGAATAGGTGTTACCCCAAGTAATTAAGTCATAGGTTAGGAAGGGATAAACGAGGGCGTAATATAGGTTGAGCAGAATGTCTAAATTCACATAATAACGCAGTCAGTAAGAACGAATACCAATATTTCGTTTAATCTTTTAGCAATGTAGCTTACATGGCTTCTCCATGATAAGTTAGAATCTATTATAAGACCTAGATACCTTATTGACGACCCTTACTTTAAGTTTATGCCTTTTCCGGAGAGTGTGACATTAAAGGGCAATTTTTTTTGTGGAGAGTGGAAAATGACAAAATTAGATTTATCAATATTGAGTGACAGTTCGTTAGAGCCAAACTAGGTATGGATTTTTTAACTATTTAACGATTTTAACTCCATCCTTCAAAATTTATTCAAGCACTTTTAGATTTTTATGCTTATAAGACAGATTGGCATCACCTGAAAATAAATGACAGTCTAGTATTTTAGAGCAGTTACTAATGTCATTAATATACAAGAGAAACAATAATGGGCCAAGGACTGAGCCTTGAGGAACACCACAAGAAACAGGTTGAAGCTCTGACCCAATACGCCCTAGGGAAACGAACTGCTATCTGTTAGTAAGATAGGAGGTGAACCAATCTTTTTTCACTCCACTAATGCCATAGTAATTAATTTTTCTAATTAGGAAGTTATGATTAACAGTATCAAAGGCTTTACTGAAATTCCAAAATATACCACAAGAAAATTCATGGCAGTCAATTGCATGTTGTATCAAGTCTGCGATGCTTAGAATAACATGATCATTAGGGTGTCCCACACGGAAACCAAACTGCTTGCAATAAAGTACTTTTTTCTTTTCCAAAAAATCTAATATTGTCTTATGCATCAATTTTTCTAATAGATTATTGAATATAGATAGAGTAGAAATGGGACGATAATTGTTTAAACTTGTTTGAAGGCCCTTTTTAAAAACAGGGGTAACTTAAACTATTTGAAATTTATCTAGGACAGTTTCACTAGAAGAGGAGGCATTAAATATAATTTCTAGAGGTTTGGATATAGGATATTTATTAGCTTTTAGAATATTAACTGGGATACAAAGGGGCCCAGTAGACGTGTTAGCTTTTAAGCCAGCAATTTTATTTTCGATTTCCATAGTTGTAAAGGGAAATAAAAAGAAATTATCTTGAGATGGAGCTGTGAGATACTAAAGGGGAGATTTATTTACACTAGGAATACTCTTTGTCAGATTAGTTCTAATATTAGCAAAACAAGACGAAAGATGAAAGACGTTCACTTTTGTTGAGGTTGTTCAATTATTTATTTTCGCTAGTCACGTTTGCTTCTCAGATATCAATTTATACCACATTTTGGACAGCTGGAAGATTGGCAAGAGCCAGACGCATGGGAATTACCAGCAAAACTCAATCGTGGAGGGCCATGAATTGGTGGAGTTTTGGTTTCGCCATTGTACCTTTTAACCAATAAGTTGTCTACATGCAAATGCTCCTTTGAGCAATGACTTCTAAATTAAACAACATTTTAAATTGTAAATGCCAAGCGCAACTCACCGCTTCAACACATCGAGATCACGTAGAGATCAGGGGAAAGAGTGTATCGGGCGAATCGATACCATAAGGTGCATGGATAGAAAAGGTCCCAAAAGGGACTCCTCTGAGGATTCATCTTTTATGGTGCAACTCGGAACAACTCGTAAACTAAATCTCACCGACACACTTTACAGTTTAAAAGCTCTCCTCTTTGGAGGTTTAATTATTTGGTAAAAGAGCAAAATCTCATTTACTCACTCTTATACAAGGTACTGATGAAGACGAACACGACGAGGTAGATTCAAACAACTCGATTTAGGCTTCTTCAGTAACACTTTAAAGCATATTGTTAAGCTCGTGCGAATGATTTCTATTTAGAAAACATCACAAAGTATTGATACTTCAAATTGGCAAACATTCCATAAAAATAGAACTCTGAATTCAAAGGGCTCAATAGAAAAAATTCTTTTCTAAGATATCTAAGGGGTTCCATTCCTAGTTGAAATACTAGAAGTGTTACTTCAAGCCACAAAATATGAACCAAAAGCGTAAACTTTAGACTAGAAAAAGCAAATCGATGCTACACACTATTGAAAAGAAGAGAGAAGTGAACACTAAGGACTCCTCAAAAACTACTTCAAGTGGCATGAAAGATAACATCCTAATTAAATACCTGAATCATTTAGAGCTTGGAGCGAAAGAAAGAGAATTAAGTCAATGTTCGTTGGAAGCGGCTTTTAGTCTTTAAAATTTAAACCTTTGTAATAGCGATCGTGTATAAAATACCGGTTAGTTGACGTCTAAGAAGTGCTACAATACAACTTTGCTACGTTAGCTTTTATAATCGTAACGGTGGCCAATTTACCATTTCAATTTTGTTGATATACTAGAATTATTTCGTTACCCCCACCGACGCAGCCCCAAACAGTTTCTTTAGAAACTATCAGCCTTTATTTACCACATGGTTATGTGTTTTTGTTTTGGATGTCCTTGCGTTAATCCAGTTCTTGAGGAATTTTTGCATTAAAAACGTTTGAGGTGGCTTTTGTTTCAATGGCTTTTGTTTTAATCAAAAGACAAACATACTGAACAAAGACCCATTGGTAGCCGTAACTTTGGAATGTAGCGTTTATTGCTTTAAAAACTGGCCCACTAAAGAGTGGATATATCTCAAAGCTCTAAGATCCTCCAATGTTGTTCTAAATCGATGGAGCAGTCTCACTAAACAGCAATATTTAGATGACTTAAACTTTCTCAGAGTAAAAATATAGAAGCAAAATGTTAGCTTTCCGATTTTTCCATTTGTAGCAAAAAAAGGTTAAACTGGAATTTCATGTATTCATCAAAAATTTTCATATGTAGCCTCATGTCAAACATGTTAAAATATTTCGGTCCCGTTCCGCTTTGGCTACTTTTCAAAGCACTTATGTAAAATTTTTTTCTTCATAGATTGTACTTCGAAAAGCAGAATGATGCACGTCCCTTTGGTGCTTCTAATTCTTGTGTTACGCGCAGTTAGAGAAAGATGTGTGGCTACCGTAGCTGAGAATTACGGACTGGGAAGAGTCATAGATCTTCGAAAGGTCAACTTACTGGCCGACTTCCAGGAGAAAGAGAACAGGATCTTTGAGGAGCTACCGCAGAAATGTCTCATAAAGAAAACTTTGAAGTCTTCAAGCAGCCACTTCGAATATTATGCAAATACTAAGGCGTTTTATGAATCACTCGCCACCCAGTCAAGCTTGAGCGCCTCTTTGCAGTCCGCGTACTCATTGGGTGTCACGGTATCGGTTGCAACAAAGAGAAAAAGTTCAAAGAATATTGAGGTGAGTGGCATGTCTTTGATCAAGCAGGCCTTAACAGAAAAGATCGACGTCGATAAAGAATGTCTACTGATTGACTACATGTCCACCTTGAAAGGAACATTTATTAAAGACTTGGAGAACTTGCCCGTACCCATAAAAAATCCCTGGGAGCTAAACTCGTGGAGGGAGTATCGTACTTTTCTTAACAAATACGGTTCTCATGCCATAACGTCTGTTAAGCGCGGATCAAGATTTCAGCAAATGACATTCGCAGAGAGCTCGAAAGCCTACAGTCAAAGAGATTTCCAAGTGAAAGCTTGCGTTTCGGCCGCAGGACCTACTCAGGTCGGAAAGGTCGGCGTCTCTGCATGTTCAAACGTAAGCCAAAGTGAAATATCCAAAGCAAGCACCATGAGCACGAGCGAGAAACGCTTTGTCAAAGGTGGAAAAAGGGAAACAAATAGCAAGCTGGCAAACAACGCGACGTCGGTTGAATTAATTAACCAACTCATGGATGAAGCTGATTCTTCTCCTGCGTCTGTTCAGCACACCTTTATGGCGATCTGGACGATCCTACAGAGCCGCTTTAAACAGGGGTCTCCCAACAACATCCGAGCCACAAACCTCGAGTACTATTACCTGGGATTCTTGAATTTTGATTGTCCTTTCATAACTAGCTCTGGACTTGCCGTACAAAAGTTTGACCATACCACAGGTTCCAGCAATGAACGTCCAGAATTCGAGTGTACCCTGGCAAAAGAGGGGTGTCACAATGACGATGACTGTCACTACAAACCCTTTTGGTGCTCCTGTCGTGGTCCAACATGTGTCCCTTACAGGTCAGTGAAACAAGGTGCAGGTGACACTAAGGAAACTGCATACGCAAACACGTTTGAAGATTGGGGATGGCATGGTTGCGATTGGAAATATGCTGGATCTTGGTGCAGTTGCTATAATAAGAATCGTGATCAGCGGAAAACTGTGTGGTCCTTGCCAAACAGAGATGCCCCCGCACATAAAGCATCAACCAAAACCGCTGATGAAAAAGGCAGAGGATTCAGGTCTCCAAGGTACACCGAAAGGAAGGGATAATGAAAAAGGAAATTTTGGCTCACTTATCATTGAAATTCGGTTCACTTAAAAATTATATTATAACTTGACGAACAGTGCATGTGTCTCACTGTGTTTGAATAAAGGAATATATGTGAACATGTTTCATGAACAATCATTGATAGTACCTGTCTGTTACTCGGTCACCGAATAAACTTTGAAACTATTGAACCATGTGCTTTCTTCATTCTCTTGTCTTTCTCTTTTCACCGCAAGGGCTTATGGGTAAATACACTCACGGGTGCTCATGGGTCACGGACCTCACACTCTCCCCCCCAACAAAAAAGTCGTCCAAAACAACACTGCATACAATACAGGTATCTCTGGGTAAAACGTTTTGCAAACTAAAGTCACGTTTGTATTTGTGGGTTGCGCAATCCCACAAACAACAAACTGTCAAGTAATCACTGTTAAACTAAAGACGAAAGTGTCTGTCTTTGATTAGAGACTTTGAACCCTCAATAATGGCTGAAGATGCCTAATATGTTAATGCAAACATGTGCACTTTGTCGTACGTGTCCGATAAGAACAATAATCATCATAACAAAACGTTCTCATGCATAGTCTCTGGCAGTGTTTTTGACCTGTTCCTGAACTTGTCTAATGATTACCAACAAACTGGGTACGGAGGGATGACTGAAATGACCAAAATGGTGGATACTGAGGTGATGTGCTCAGCCACGGTGGGGGCAGGTTTGCTGTATTTGAAACCATATTCATGTTAGTGGTTACTCCTGGGTAGAAGGTAGGGTGACCAGGTACGTCATAAGTCATACGGATAGGCGGTCTTCTAATGCGCGGCTGCCGGTTTTCTACGATAGGTTGGGGTGTAGAGGATGGGGACTGTTCAGGTTCTGTACGGGTATTGGGTGTGAACTCATTCTGCAGGTCATCGACGGGTGGGTCAGGTTTTACATCCTCTGAAGTGTCTGCAGTACCACTTATAGCTAGACTCCTGTATATCTTGCTCTTCTGTCCGTGGATGTTCCACAGTGTTGTTTGGATATTTGGCCTGTAGTTGGTTAGGTGGAAAGGATGGGATGTCATCGTCTTCGTCGTCTTGACCAGCTGAACGTGGGGTCTGGATTAAAGGTTTGTTGTTCTGCAACGGAGGTCTCCGCTGTCGCTGCCTAGAATGAAGTTTAGTCATGGGTCGTACATCATCCTCCTCCACTGGTAAGTATGTGCAAGGTAGGAGTAAGTTGCGGTGCAACATTCTCTTCGTTGTCCCAGCCTCTAATCGAACTTCGTAAACTGGGGAACCTGCACTCTTCTGTTCTACGACGACATACAGGTCATTTTCCCAGTATGATCTCAGCTTCTCTGGCCCTCCTCGTGCACTCATGTTTCCGACCAGTACCCTGTCACCAGGTTCCAGCACAATGTTACGCACCTTCTTATCGTACTGCCTCTTACTCCGCTGAGTATTTCGCTGGGCGATTTCAGAGGCAAGTTTGTAAGCCTCTGACATAGCATTTCTCCATTTCTTCACATACTGTAGATAGAAGCCAAACCCGCTTGGAGGCTTGAGATTAAACATCATATCAATAGGAAGGCGTGGGGCTCTCCCAAAGAGTAAGAAAAATTGTGCATAACCGGTGGCATTGTTCTTTGTACAGTTGTACGCATGAACCATTTTGTTTAAATGGTAACGCCATCTTGATTTATGCTTCTCAGGCAAAGTCCGTAGCATGCACAGGAGAGTCCTATTGAATCATTCCACTTGGCCATTGCCTTCGGGTGGTAGGGTGTTGTTCTGGAGTGGTAGGCTCCAATGAGTCTATCCAAGTTGTAAAACAGTTTGTTCTCAGATTCACCGCCCTGATTATGGTGGATTGTTTCAGGGACTCCAAGCCGGAAGATAAAATCATTATAGATCTTTTCTGCCGCTGTTTTTGCAGACTTGTCTTTGGCTGTTTAG